CCTGGGATCAGGGGCCGAGTTATCACTGACCCCACTGCCCCCCCCCATGCTCTGTGGCACTGACTCGCTCCTACAGAGCTGAGAGGTGTGTTCCTTGTTTTCTGTTGTCTCCTCTGTTTAATGATGTGATGGTGCCTGTGTCCAGCCCATCATCCTGCTTCCAGACCACCTTCTGTCTTTTACGTTGCCCCAGAGGCTTATGCAGATGAGGAGCTAGCCTCCAAAGCATGGAGTATGCAGATTCAGCATGTCTGGCGTGTGTAGGCAGCCTTCAGGATTTGGGGTGCGGCTGAGACTCACAAGGACAGGGACTCTTGCCCTCCGCAGTCCTGTTTCTACTCTGCCAGGGGAGATGGCCTGGAGACAAGGAAAGTGCTTGGAAACATTCAGAGCAGGCTACGTTCTAGGGGTGCGTGAGGACAACGCTTTCCCAGAAAGTACGCTGTATTTTTCAGAGCAGCTTCTACAGAAACTTTGCACACAGTACAGACTTCCCATAGGATCCCTTTTCCTGCAGTGTATTGTTGTTGTTGTTAAGTGCCATCGAGTCGGGTCCGACCCATAGCGACCCTGTACAGGGTTTCCGAGGGTGTAAATCCTGCAGTGTATATCATCGTTAATATTCATGTGTTACATTAGTTATGATTGATGAAGTGATATTGATACATTGTTATTAACTGAAATCCACAGTTCATCTTAGAGCTCAGTCCTGTCCAAATATTGCATGCCCACAACGATGTGTCTTCAGAATTGTTTCATTGCCCTGGAAATGTCCTCTGATCCCCCAGCTCATCTGTTTCCCTTCCCCCGGAGCCCCGGTTTCTCCTTTTCCAGAATGTTCTGTAGCTGGAATCATACACTATGTCCTCTTTGCAAACTAGCTTCTTTCACTCGTTAGATGTCCTTGAGTCGGTTCTGACTCATTGCCACCTGGTACACAACAGAAATACTGCCCCATCGTGTGTTCGTCCTCACCAGCTCTCTGTTACAGCCCATTGTTCCGCCCCCGTTTCGTTCCATCCTGTTGGAGGTCTTCCTCTATTCCGCTGACCCCTCCACTTTACCAAGCATGATGGTCCCTCCTGATAACATGTCCCAAACACGAGAAACAAAGTCTCACCAGCCTCACTTCTAAAGAGCATTCCGGCTGCAATTCTTCTGACACCGATTTCTGTGTTCTTCCGCCAGTCCATGATATATTTAGCATTCTTTGACAACACCATAATCCAAATACATCAGCTCTTCTCCGATCTTTATTCATTATCCAGCTTCTGAATACGTATGTTGTTGTTGTGAAGTACTGTCGAGTCGATTCTGACCCATAGCGACCCTGTATAGGGTTTCCAAGGAGCAGCTTGTGAACTTGAACCACCGACCTTGCAGTTCAAATGACTTTGCAGTCTGATGCATTAGCCCACAGCACCACACCCGGACTCTAATACATATGTTGTTGTTGTTGTTGTTGTGAAGTGCCGTTGAGTCGGTTCTGACCCATAGCGACCGTGTATAGGGTTTCTGAGGAGTGGCTAGTGAGCTTGAACTGCTGACCTTGCAGTTCAAATGGCTTTGCAGTCTGACGCATTAACCCTCAGCGCCACACCAAGACTCCGAATACATATGTGGTGATTGAAAATACCATGACTTGGGTCAGGCACACCTTAGTCCTCAAAGTGACATTTTTACTCTTTAAGACTGTAACGGGGTCTTTTTCAGCAGATTTTCCCAATGCAGTGTGCCTGTTGAATTGGGTAAAATTGCATGGGGGAGTCCTGGTGTGGTGCTCACTGTAGGATGAGCTCAGGACCACAAGGTCAGTTTGAACCACAAGGTTGGTGGTTCAAACTCACCAGTCACACCTCAGAAACCCTAGACAGGATCATTATGACTTGACAGCACTTAACAACCACAACGACTTCCATGGATGTTGATTGTGGATCCAAGTAAAATTAAATCCTTTTCTCTCACTTAGCAACGTGTATGTAAGGTTCGTCTGTGCCTTTCTCATCTCTTTCCATCATCCTCCATAGTAATGGGAAGATCAGTGTGTTCATCCTTTCACCTGTGGGGGAGTTCAAGGTCATTTCCAGTTAGGGGCAGTTCTTTATAGACTAAGTTGCTGTAACAATTGGGGTGCAGGTTTCTGTTTGAACGGGCAACAGACTTTCTCATGGGACGTAGGCTCATGGAGAATGCTGGGTGGACTTGTGGGAAGTGAGGATTGACTCATGGGAATACACTCCAAAAGGGGGAGCAGGTCTCTAGGGGGAAGGTGTCTGCATTTTGAGGCCACAGCTTAGGGTGGACGAGCCAGGCAGAGAGCAGGAGTCTGGGGTATCACTTCCCCCTTGAGCCCTGCAGGGTACCCCTGTGAACATGGTTTATCTGGGTGTGCAGTGAGGCAGACTCAAGTATGCCTGGGTTTGCCTGGCCTCTCTGGTCAGCATGTGTGTCTCTTCCATCTCCCTGGACTCAGGGCCAGCCTGGGCACATCCTTCCCCAGTGATCATGAAGGCTTTTCCAGGCTGACAGACGTCCTGAGACGGGGGCCACCCAGCCCAGGGCAGGGGCACTGATGCGGGGTCTGCTTCAGGGTTGCTGGTCTCACAGGCCTTTGGACCCTGTTAGAGGTCTTAGGTACGGCCTCAGGGAGGCCCAGGGGAGGCTTGACCTTTGGGGATACGGAGGGCGCAGGGGTCCAGGGGCAGACCTAGAAACTCGGTTTGAGGTGATGAGAAGTGGGTTGGTGGTGGAGTGGGAAGGAGGATACAGTGTCCTGGGGGCTGAGACAGGATGTGAGCAGGGGCCCGGGTTCAGTTTGCGCTGCAGCCTTGGGTCTAGCCAGCCCCTGGCTGTCAGGAGAACAGGTTGGGCAGGTTGTGGGTAGGGCTTGCTGGAAATCATGGAAACTTGAGCTAAAGCCCGGCTCAGGTAGAATTGGGTGTCTGCTGGGAAGGTCACTGACCTGGCTCATGGAGCAGTGTTCTAGAATTTCCCATGGACAAAAGCCCTGGAAATGTGGATTTTCATGTGGAAAATCCCGGCTAGCCCTTTTGAAACGTTACTGATGAAATCAGATTGAAAATAAGCATCAGCGTATGGCTTCATGTCCCACAGGGCAGGTCACTGGCCCCTGGTCACTGATGAGCTGCAATGGACTGCTTCTGCAGGGCAAGTTCACCATACCTGCCACCCCTCTGGTCCAGTCTACCTTCACTCCTACCCACCACTCCAGTCCAGACTATGCCCACTGCCCCCCTCCCCCCCCCAGGTTTCGGCTCTCCCCTCTAACCCAGGCTAGCCTGCATGCCCTCTGACCCAGGCTAGCCCACGTGCCCTCTGACCCAGGCTAGCCCGCGTGCCCTCTGATCCAGGCTAGCCCGCGTGCCCTCTGACCCAGGCTAGCCCGCGTGCCCTCTGACCCAGGCTAGCCCGCGTGCCCTCTAACCCAGGCCTGGGCCCACAGTCACCTCTCCCCTGATGCTTCAGGAATGTCGGTAGCCATTTATTTCTCCCAAACAGGAAAACTGAGGCTTAGAAATGGGTGGTCTTCTCTGTGAGTCTCCAGGGGTTGGGGCGGTCCCATGGGAGGCTCCTGGACTCCTTGAGGACGTGTGGGGTTTAGGATCAGGAAGCAGGGTGGGAGACACGCATGCCAGGTGCACCCAGAGTGTCCTGGAGCTGACTGAGGGGGGCCTTCCTGGAGGCGGCACCTGACCCCTGGGTTTTTAATCCCTGATGCGAGTCTTAAGGCTGTGTCTCACCCAATTGTCTACACAATTTGACCACACAATTTTTTCCCTTACCTGGTTGGCCAGTTCCAATTTCTAAGGCACACATTCTTATTTTGGGAAAGGAAAAAAGAAAGATCGTAAGGTTTCTGCTTTCTTTGGGAAGTTGTTATGTGCGTGGAGTCGGTTCCGACTCATAGCGACCCTGTACAGGGTTTCCGAGGCTGTAAATCTTTACGGGAGCAGAAAGCCTCATCTTTCTCCCATGGAACGGCTGGTGATTTTGAACTGCTGACCGTCAGATTAGTAGCGCGATTCGTAACCACTACGCTACCAGAGCTCCTTTCTTCGGGAAGTCGTCAAAGAAAAAGAGAGATCCTAATAAAGCGTCCACAGTGGGGGTGGGGCGGGGGCTGTACCAGTAAAAGTGTGTCCTCTCTGAGCTCTGTCCTTCAGCGCCCGCCGAGTGCCCTGGGAATGGACCAGTGTCCCAGGGCCACCATGTCAAGGTTCCAAACTGGGGGTGGGGTGAGGGGCTGTAACAATAGAAGCGTGTCCTCGTGCATTTCTGGGGGCTGGAGTCCGAAAGCAGGGTGTGGGCAGCATTCTGGGGGAACCTTTCTCACCTCCTGGTGCCGGCGTTCCTTGGCTGGTGGGCATATCACTCCGACTGTGTCTCTGCCGTCAGTCGGCATTTCTCTCTGTCTGTGTCTCTTCTCCTCTTACAAGGGTCTCCTCACAGCAGGGAGATACGGGACCTGGACTGTCTCTGGCCTTTGCTGCCCCCACCTCTATCTAGAGCACCCTCACCCCTTCAGGATCCACTAGCTGGAATCTCTGGGCGTTTCCCACCCCCACCCATGAGAACAACTCTGCCATCCCTGGGACCCTGTGTGTCCCAACAGCAGGTCCCTTAATTCTGAGTGTCAGGGAGGTGAGGAGGGGGCTAGCACCCACTCCATGCACGGTGTCACACTGGGCACCTGGAGGCTGTAGGCCTGGGGAGGAGTGGGGAGAGGAGGGGTCTCTCTCCAGGGTCCTGGCCTGGCATCACTGGATGGGGCTGGCTTCCCAGGTGAGAGCACCCCACGGCCTCCTGAAGGAGAGATTGGGGGGCATGGTGGTCTCCCCTGCAGCTTGTGGGGGTGGGATCTGGACTGAGAATGCTCGGCCTCCTAGGGGACACCTAAGGGTGGGGCTCCTGGAAGTGGGACAGTCGTGTGGGGCCCTAAGTGTTGGGTCCTCATGTGACCCCGCCTTTCTTCCCTACAGCTGACATCATTTCCACGGTCGAGTTCAACCACACGGGGGAGCTGCTGGCCACGGGCGACAAGGGTGGCCGTGTGGTCATCTTCCAGCGAGAGCCTGAGGTGTGTGGGTTTGGGGGCGGGGCTTTGATCCTGGGGGGCACTGCCCACTGCCTTTCGTGGTGGAAGGAGTATGGGAAAGCCTCCCACGCCGCAGACTGTTGATGTTTGCTGGGCTGCCTGGAAACTGGAGCAGGGATCAGGCCAGGATGCTCTGAGAGCCAACTTAATCCCACTGCAGGTTGGGGTCAGCCCTGAACCCGCCCAGGGAGACCTGGGTGAGGGGTGTGGGGCGAATCAGTGTGGACCTGGGAAGGGAGGAAGGAAGTGAGAAGAAACAGGAGGGTGGGGGGTGAGGGCAAGGAGGGGCTGCCCAGTCTCCTCTCCGCTCCTCTCCAGACCCTGAACTTCCAGTGGGCTGGCTGGTTTAGCCCCACCCCTTCCGTCAGGTGCTGCAGGTTAGGAGCCAGGATTGAGAGCTGCCTAGCTCAGAGACAAGACAGCACTCCAGGCCCACTGCTGCGGGTCCAGGGATGCCAGCCCAACCCTCCCTACCGTAAAGTCCAGAACACGTTTCCGTGGGCAGATAGCAGCTTCTTCATTTTCCCCCTGAACTCTGGTCCTGTGGAACCTTGTATCATAACCGGACTCCTAGGAGACACAGTGAATCTAGGCAAAAATATTGAGGGTCTTTAAGGGCCCGCAGGGGCAGGACAGCTTCTCAGTGTAAAAGCTCATGCTAGTTCAAAGTTAAAAGAAGACTTGAAGTCACGCTGGGTCCGTGTCTTCATTTGGGTCCCGGGCATTGTGATTTTGTATTGTCCAAATGAAAGTGTGTCATCTCCCGGGGACGAGGAGTGGACTTGACCGCCTCGCCATTTAGGCCCCTTGTGGTTGGAGCATTTGGTCCTCAAACATTCGGGCACAGTCTGAAATGTGGGGGCAGGAAGGCGGGGAGGTCAGGGCCATCGTGCAGCATCTCACAGACCTCTGTGGGGGGAGTGACCACTTAGCAGATGGACACTTAGCCCCAGGCAGGTCCTGTCTTGAGCCTCTCCCATCTATAAACGGTGACAGTCTAGGTGTTGATACAGCAAGTGATGTGTGGCTCTGAGTCAGCACGTGGCTGTCGTGGGCTGGAGTCCCCAGTAGCCTCTGGCCTGGGAGGGGCACCCGTCCACTGGGTGCCGGTCACCCTGACGCTCAGGTCCCTGTGGATTTAACCATGAGCCGCCCCGCTCACCCCCATCTCCAGGATTTCCTGCAGAGTAAACACGCGCCCCACAGCCAGGGCGAGTATGATGTTTACAGCAGTTTCCCCCCCATCTCTGGGATTTCCTGCAGAGTAAACACGCGCCCCACAGCCAGGGCGAGTATGATGTTTACAGCAGTTTCCCCCCCATCTCTGGGATTTCCTGCAGAGTAAACACGCGCCCCACAGCCAGGGCGAGTATGATGTTTACAGCACTTTCCAGAGCCACGAGCCCGAGTTTGACTACCTCAAGAGTCTGGAGATAGAGGAGAAAATCAACAAGATCAAATGGCTCCCGCAGCAGAACGCCGCCCACTCCCTCCTCTCCACCAATGGTGAGGAGTCTTTGTTGGGTGTGTGTGCATGTATGTGTGTATGGACTTGGTATGTATGCACATGTGTGCTGTTATTGTGAAATGCCATCGAGTTGGTTCCTACACATAGCAACTTTGTATAGGGTTTCCCAGAAGCAGCTGGTAGGTTTGAACTGCCGACCTTGCAGTTAACAGTCCACTGCTGGTCCTACAGTGCCACACCAGGGCTCCACATATGTATATATGGTGCATATGCAGTGCTTGTGTGTGGTGTGTCTGTGTATACACACATGTGCACATGCACATTTCTAGGTGCACACGTGTTATACATGTAAGTGTAATGCATAATACATGTGTGTATTTGTCAGAATTTTGTGAACATGTGTATGTTCATGTACAGTGTGTATGATGTTTGTGTGCTACTGCACGGCTGCATATATGCACATGTGTGTTTAGGCAACCCATGCCATGCCTGCATGTGTGTGCACACGTGTCGACTATGTGCACAATGCATGTTCTTGTGTCTATGTGTTCTGGTGCAGGTGCATGACATCCATGCAGTGCAAGCACAGATGTGTGTATATAGCCTGTGTGGACACACATGCATGTTCATGTGGGTAAGTGTGCAGCTACATGCTTTAATGCACACACACGCACACTAGCTCATGTGCCCAGGTACACATTCATGTTATGTGCTTGTGTCCACACACATGCATGTACATTTATGCATGTACGCATATACATGCATGTATGTGTACACACGTGTGCATATGTGTGACATGCCTATATGTGTTCACATGTGAAGTGTCCGCACACATCTGTGCATATGTGCACACATAGAACAGCATGTGCATGTGTGTGTGTGATGTTTGTATGTGTTCCCGTGTGCACACAGGAACATGTGTGTGTGTGTGTGTGGTAGCAGCTTGCTCTGGAGTGCCATTTCTCACCTCATCTATGAGTGTGCTGTGAGCATCAACACTTTGCAGGGTCTGTGCAGCTCACTGAGCGAATCTGCCAGGACTCCTGCTGCCGTTTTCCGGGTGGACATGAGGCTGCTTCTCCATCATAGATATCGCTGTGAAGACTTTTCCTAGGGGAGGGAGGAGCTTCATATTGCTAAGGAGAGCAACTCAGTACACAGAGTGGACACTGGTCCCAAACCCCCACCGCTGGGCCCCGGGTCTCCCAGACTGGAGGCTAGTTCTCATGAGAGCTACAGGGCAGATGGTGCAGAAACATGCATCATGGCTGACGTTCGACTCTACGTTGACGTCCATTACGTTTGGATCTAACTGTGTGCTCTTGGGTGCCCATCGTGTGCTTGGTTGAGACCAGTTCCCTTCCTCCTTCTCCTGCACAGGGTGGGTTCTGTGTGGCAGGATGCCAGAGAAGTGAGAATCTGGAGAGTTGAACTAAGAAGGTGGGCTTCCGCTCCGTTAAAAATAGCAAAGAGGTTATTCTCTTCTGTCTGCCATTGAAGGGTTCTTAAAAAGTAGGGAACTAACTTGGTACAGTCTTTCTGGAAATCAGTTTAGAGATAAATAACAAAACAAAAGCCACACTGACGTCGAGTTGGTTGGAACTCATAGCGACCCTAGAGGTAAGAATAGATCTGTTCTATAGGGTTCCAGGGTTGGTGGTTCAGCTCACCAGCTGCTCCTCGGAAACCCTATACAGGCTCACTATGTGTCAGAACCGACTCGATGGCACTTCACAATGACAACAACATTGGGATTCCAAGGCTCTAGACACTTCCAGAAGCAGACAGCCTCATCTTTCTCCTAAGGAGCGGACCTTTCAGTTCTCCACCCACCACTGAACCCACAGCACAACCAGGGGTCCTCTGAAAATGGTGTACCCTTTGGCCCAGGAACCCCCCTTTAGGAATCAATAACGAAGAGTGAGGACAATCTCTCCACGGCCTTGGTTATTATTGCTAAGTGCCATCTAGTTGGCTCAGACTCCTAGCAACACTGTATGGAGTTTCCCAGAAGCGCCTGGTGTGTTGGAACCTCCGACCTTCAGTTAGCAATCCTGTGCTTCTCCTGCAGTGCCACATCAGGTGTGTGCACATACACTCACGTGTCAGCTCGTCTCACTGTGGTGGCTTCCGGTTGCTGTGATGCTGGGAGCTCTGCCAGCGGTATTTTAAATGTCAGCAGGGGTCCTGATATCATGCTCCAGGAGAAGCGCTCAACTGGAAGCTTGGGTTGGACGACAGGGTGGGTGGTTCAAATCCACCAGCCACTCCTTGGAAGCCCTGTATAGGGTCGTTATAAGTCGGAACCAACTTGAAGGCACTTACCAACAGCAACAACAGGGCCATCCATGGTGGACAGGCTTCAGCTGAGTTTCCAGAATAAGACAACTGAGGAAGAAGGAGAGACAGACTATTTCTGAGCTTTCAGCCTTATGAATAGTAGTAGAACACTGTCAGATAGCACCAGAATATTATCAGATATAGTGCTAGAAGATAAGCCCCTTAGGCTGAAAGGCATCAGAATACGACTAGGGAAGAGCTGCCTCCTCAAAGTAGAGCTGACCGTTATGACATGAATACTGTAAAGCCTTCAGGACCTTCATTTGCTGATGAGGCACAACTCAAAATGAGGAGAAAAAGCTGTGAATGTTTATTAATAATCAGAACCTGGAAGCTATGATGTATGAATCTAAAAAACTTGGAAGTTGCCAAAAATGAAATGGAATGAATATAAATCGATATCATAGGCATTCGTGAGTGGAAATGGACTGGCATTGGCCATTTTGAATCTGACAGTCACATGGTTTACTATGCCGGGAATGACAAATTGGGGAGGAATGGTGTCACATTCATCATCAAAAAGGATACTTCAAGATCTATCTTGAAGTATAATGGTGTCTGTGATAGGATAATACCCATATGTCTACAAGGAAGACCAGTTAATACCACTATTATTCAAGTTTCCACACCAACCACTAAAGCCAGTGAGGATAAAATTGAAGAATTCTACCAACTTCTTCAGTGTGAAATTAATCAAACATGCCATCAAGATGTATTAATCATTACTGGTGATTGGAATGCAAATGTTGGAAACAAAGAGGAAGGATCAGTTGTAGGATTATCTGGTCGTGGTGACCGGAAAGCGATGGTGGAGACTGCGTGATAGAATTTTGTAAGATCAATGACTTATTAGTTGCAAATGCCTTTTTAAAAAAACATAAAAGATGACTATGCACATGGACCTCACCAGGTGGAATACACGGAAATCAGGTGACCACATATGTGGAAAGAGATGGAATCCTGGTGTGGTACTATGGGGTAATGCACTGGACTGCAAGGTCACTTTGAACTGCAAGGTTGGCGGTTCAAGTTCACTTAGCAACAACAACAGCAATGGAAAGAGACAATGGAAAAGCTCTGTATCATCAGTCCAACCAAGGCCAGGGGCAGACTGTGGAACACACCATCAATTGCTCATATGCAAGTTCGGACTGAAGCTGAAGAAATTAAAACAAGATCATGAGAGCCAAAATATGACCTTTCACATATGCCATCTGAAGTTAGAGATCATCACAGGAACAGATTTGCTTCATTAGATACTGATGGCAAAAGACCAGAAGAGTTGTGGGATGACATCAAGAACATCACACAGAAAGAAAGCAAAAGGTCACAAAGAAGACAAGAAAGAAGGAAAAGACCAAAATGGATGTCAGAAGAGACTCTGAAACTTGTTCTCTACTGCAGAGCTGCTAAAGCAAATGGAAGAAATGAGGAATTAAAAGAGCTGGAAGAAAATTTCAAAGGATAGCTCGAGAATAAAAAATTTTTTTTAAAAAAAATCAAGTAATATAATGAAATGTGCAAAGACCTGGAAGTAGAAAACCAAAAGGGAAGAACACAGTCAGAATTTCTCATCAAGGAAACTGAAGTTGAGAGAACTGAAGAAAAAATTCAAGCCTCAACTTTCAATATTGAAGGATTCTACACACCACCAGAGAAAAAAAAGGAAGACCTCTAATGAGATGGATTGGTCAGGTGGCATCATTGATGGACTCAAGTGTGACAGCGGTAGTGAGGTTGGCCCAGGATCGGACATTGTTTCGTTCTGCTGTGCATGGGGTTGCTATGAGTCGGTTCTGACTCGATGGCACCTGACAACAACAACAACACACACCACCACAGACAAAATATTGACCGATACAGAAAGTATCGCAAAACAAACAAATGAAAAAAGATGGAAGGACTACACAGAGTTATTGTACCATAAATAAATGGTTGGTGTTCAACCATTTTAAGAGGCTGTTGTTGTTGTAAGTGCTGTTGAGTCAGTTCCGACTCACAGCAACCCTCCACAAGGTTTCCACGGAGCAACTGGTGAGTTTGAACTGCCAATCTTGAGGTTCAAACCAACCTTTCTGTTGAGTGCTTATCCTGCAGCATCTCACTAAGACTCCATCTGAAGACGTAGCAGATGATCAAGAGCCAATGATTCTGAAGGAAGAAGTCCAAGGTGCACTGAAGACATTGGCAAAAAACAAGGCTCTTGGAACTGATGGAATACAAATTGAAATCTTCCAACAAACTGATGTAGCACTGGAGGCACTCACTCATCTATGCCAACATTTTGGAAGACAGTTACCTGAACAACTGATTGGAAGAGATCCATATTTATGCCCATTTCAAGGAGAGATAAACCAATGGAATGCAGAAATCATCAGACCATATTGTTAGTATCACATGCAAGTAAAGTTTTGCTAAAGAAAATAAAAAAGTAGCTGCAACAGGTACATTGACTGGGAACTGATGGAGGTTTAGGTCTGATTCAGAAGAGGGCGTGGAATGAAGGATATAATTGTTGACACCAGGTGGATCTTAGCAGCAGCAAAGAATACCTGTACTTTATTGACCATGAAAAGGCTGTCGACTTGTGTGGACCATGACAAGCTATAGACAACATTGCAGAGAATGGGAATTCTGGAACACTTAATTGTACTCATAAGGAACCTGCACATGGACCAAGAGGCAATCATTCAAACAGAACAAGGGGACAATGGTTTAAAATCAGGAATGGTGTTTGCCAGGGTTGTATTCTTTCATCATATTTATTAATTCTGTATGCTGAGCAAATAATCTGAGAAGCTGTTATATGAAAAACATGGCATCAAGACTGGAGGAAGACTCATTAGCAACCTGTGATATGCTGATGATACAACCTTGCTGGTTGAAAGCGAAGAGGACTTAAAATACCTACTGATGAAGATCAAAGACCACAGCCTTCAGTATGGGTTTTACCTGTATGTAAAGAAATGAAAATACTCACCACTGGACCAGTAAATAACCTTATGATAAATGGAGAAAAGATTTAATTTGTCAAAGACTTAATTTTGCTTGGATTCAGTATATCAACACTCACGGAAGCAGCAGTCAAGAAATCAAATGGTGTATTGCAATGGGTAAATCTGCTGCACAAGACCTCTTTAAAGGGTTCAGGAGCAAATGTGTCAGTTTGAGAATTAAGGTGTGCCTGGTCCAAACCAAGGTGTTTCCAGTAGCCTCATACACATGTGGAATGTGGACAATGAATAGAGACGAACTCATGCATTTGAGTTGTGGTGGTAGAGAATATTGAAAATATCATGGGCTGCCTGAAGAACCAACAGCTCTGTGTTGGAAGAAGTGCAGCCAGAGTGCTCCTTGGAGGCCAGGATGGGCAGACTTCGTCTCTCTTGTTTCGGACATATTGTCAGGAGGGACCAGACCCTAGAGAAGTACGTTATACTTAGTAAAGTGGAGGGTCAGTAAAAAAGAGGAAGACCCCAGTGAGATGGATTGGCACAGTGGCAGCAGCAATGGGCTCACCCATCGCAGCGATTGTGAGGCTGGTGGATGGCCGGGCACTGTTTCCTTCTGTTGTGCACACGTCACTTTGAGTGAGACCTGACTCCACAGTACCTAACAACAGTGTTGTGACATGCTGTCAAGTCAGTTCCGACTCACAGCGACCCAGTACAGGGTTTCCAAGGACGGACTGGTTGGTTGAAGCTGTGGACCTTAAGGCTGGCAGTCGAATGCTCACCCTATAGCACCACCCCAGGGTGCATTGGGGCACATGGTGATTAAAATGGGGAAGAGCCGACCTGTCCAGGACCAGGCTGATGCTTTGACTGTTGGGGGGTGTCTGGGTCTTTATTTTGCTGATTGAAGTGGATACTACATTCTATGTGTCTTGTTTTACTTTGCTGTGTTTTTAAAGATAAAACTATCAAATTATGGAAGATTACCGAGCGAGATAAAAGACCCGAAGGATACAACCTAAAAGATGAAGAAGGGAGACTCAAGGACCTATGCACAGTGACGTCTCTACAGGTAAGCAGGAACAAGCAGGAGGCACACTGAACATTTGGGGACTTGGTGGCCTTGGAGGTTTTTACCAGGAGCCAAGTTCAGGTTCTGACGGGCTGCTTACAGGATGGATGGCCACAGACACTTCTCTCCTGCCTGCCCGGGTTTTCTCACCAACAAGATGTGGAGGGGCACGGGGGATCTTGTGAAGAAGTGCTTTCCAGGAGCTGGGGTGATGCCAACAGTTTGTAATTAACAGGCTACTCCCCAGTGCTCCCCAGGAAAAAGGTCTTGATGTTGTTGGTATTAAGTACCGTCAAGTCAGTTCTGACTCTTAGTAGAGGGTTTCTGAGGAAACAGAAGGCTTCCCTCTTCTCCCTCTGAGTGACTGATGTGCTCGAAATGCCAACCTGGTGGTTCTCAGTCCTCTGCTTACTGTATGGAACCACCGCACAAAGACGCCGGCCCAGGAGACTCTTTGGACAGTTCTGTTCGCCTGCACACGGTTAGCCAAGAGTTGGAATCAATTCAATGGCACCGGGTTTTAAAGTGACGGTGGAGAGCAAGTCCCACACAAAGGGGGGAACTGAGGGACACTACCTGTGGAGCCCAGGGGGACCTTTCTGCACCTTGTCCATCTGGTGGACGCCTAGTCATCCTTCTAGCAAAATAAAATTTAGGAAAAAAATCCCATAGCTTTCACCTCTCTAAAACTGAAAGACCAAACCCATTTACATGGAGTGGATTTCCAATTCATCATGACCCCACACAGGGTTTCTGAGACTGTATTTTTATGGGATCAGACAGCTTCATCTTTCTCCTGTGGAGCTGGCTAGACGGGGTTGAACTGCTGACCTTGTACTGTCCACTGACCACAGGTGGGCCAGGAGCGTGGCCCCTGCCTGGGCAGCCACCCCAGAGACTCTGCTGTGGCCATTGGCGCCTTGTCCCATTTAGGAGGCAGACCTTGGGTGCCCTTCCCACCAGGCAGGTGTACCTGTCCCCCGCAGCTTTGCACAGTCCCTGCTCTAACTGTCCCCCGTCCTGTGTCCTGTGGCAGGTGCCAGTGTTGAAGCCCATGGACCTGATGGTGGAGGTCAGCCCTCGGAGGGTCTTTGCCAATGGTCACACCTACCACATCAACTCCATCTCCGTCAACAGCGACTGTGAGACCTACATGTCGGCAGACGACCTGCGTATCAACCTGTGGCACCTGGCCATCACCGACCGCAGCTTCAGTATCCTTCCCAGTTACCTGGAAGGTGGGGGGTGCGGGGTCACCTCCCCAGGGAGGCCCACTGGCTGCCCCACGGAGGGAATCACATGCTGAGCTGCTGGCTGTGTCTTAGCTGGACCGTCCCCACGGTCAGTGCACTGGAGGAGGGACCCTGCGTCAGAGAGCACTGTGCTGGCTACTCATTATTGGGGTCCTGCCCAGGGCTCAGAGCCCACATGGGGTCCCACTGGAGTGACACCTGGGGTCCCTCCAGACTCAGGGTGACACCCTGGGGTGAGCGCCCAGCTGAATAGGGCACTGGGGGCCCAGGGAGCCTCGTATTCTGAGGAACCAAGTTGAGTGCCGCCCTCAGCTTCTGCTGAGAATACAATGTAGATGCCGAGAGGGGCTCAGGGTGGTCTCAGCACGGACTGGGAGGATCCAATAGGCAGTTTTGAAGGGTAGTTTGTACGAGGAATCATAGGAATACTTATACTTCTTGTTGTTAGGTACCATTGAGTCCGTTCTGAAACGTAGCTACCTGACACAAAACAGAGCAAATACTGCCTGGTCCGGCAGCCCACCCTCACACGTTCTGTAACACTGCAGCCCACCACTGCTGCCGCTGTGCCAACCCATCTCCTTGAGGGTCTTCCTCTTCTTCACTGACCCTCCACTTTACCCAGCATGATGCCCTTCTCCAGGGGCTGGTCCCTACTGACAATATGTCCCAAGTACCAGAGATGAAGTTTGGCCCTCCTGGCCTCCAAGGAGCACTCTGGCTGCACTTCTTCCAACACAGATCTGTTGGTTCTATGAGCAGCCCATAGTACTTTCAATATTCTCCAACACCAGAACTCAAATGCTTCAATTCTTCTATAGTCTTCCTTATTCACCATCCTTATGAGGTTATTGAAAATACCATAGCTGGGGTCAGGTGCACCTTAGTCCTCAAGCTGACATCTTTACTCTTCAACACTTTAAACAGTTCCTGTGCAGCAGATTTGCCTAATGCAATACGTCATTTGATTTCTCGACTGCTGCTTCCGTGAGTGTTGATGGTTGATCTAAGCAAAATGAAGTCTTTGACAACTTGAATTTTTCCATTTATATGATGTTGTTTATTGGTCCAGTGGTGAGGAATTTTGTTTTCTTGACATTGAGATGCAATCCATACTGAAGGCTGTGCTCTTTGATCTTCATCAGTAAGTATTTTAAGTCCTCTTTACTTTCAGCAAGCAAGGTTGTATCATCTGCATTTCGCAGGTTGTTAATGAGTCTTCCTCCAATCCCAATGCCACACTTTCTTCATATAATCCAGTTTCTCAGATTGTTTGCTCAGCATACAGGTTGAATAAGTATGATGAAAGAATACAACCCTGGTGCACACTTTCCTAATTTTAAACTATTCAGTGTTCCCTTGTTCTGTTCAAACAACTACCTCTTGGTCTCTGTACAGGAACACAATTAAGTGTTCCGGAATATTCATAATGTTGTCCATAACTTGTCAGGATCCACACAGTTGCATAGTCAATAGAGCACAGGTAAGCATCTGTTTGGCATTCTTGCTATCAGCCAGATGTCAGCAACTGTATCCCTTGTTCCACGTTCTTGCTGAATCTGACTTAAACCTTTGGCAGTTCCCTGTCAATGTACTGTTATAACCTTCTTTAATTATCTTTAGCGACATTTTTACTTGCATATGATATTAATGATATTGTTTTATGATTTCCGCTTTCTTTGGAATGGACACAAATGTGAATCTCATCCAGTCAGTTGGCCAGGTAGCTGTCTTCCAAATTGCTTGGCATAGATGAGTGAGTGCCTCCAGTGCTGCATCAGTTTGTTGAAATTTTTCTATTTGTAGTCCATCAATTCTCAGAGCCTTGTTCTTTGCCAATGCCTTCAGTGCACTTTGGACTTCTTCCTTCAGGACCATTGGCTGGACATTGTCCATTTCTTTTGGGTGCAGTGACTGTGTATTCCTTCCATCTTCTTTTGATGCTTTCTGCCGCATTCAATATTTTGCTCGTGTTGTTGTGAAGTGCCATTGAGTCAGTTCTGACCCATAGTGACCTGGTAAAAGATTTCCGAGGAGCAGCTGGTGAGCTTGAACCACCGACCTTGCAGTTCAACTGGCTTTGCAGTCTGGTGCATTAACCCACATAGAATCCTTCAATATTGCAAATTGAGGCTTGAATTTTTTCAACTTGAGAAATGCTGAGCGTGTTCTTCCCTTTGGGTTTTCTACTTCCAGGTCTTTGCACATTTCATTATAATATTTGACTTTGTCTTCTTTAGCTGGCTTTAAAATTTTTTTGTTCAGCTCTTCTAATTCCTCATGTCTTCCATTTGTGTTAGCATCTCTACACAAGAGAGCAAGTTTCAGAGTCTCTTCTGACATCCATTTTGGTCTTTTCTTTCTTTCTTGGCTTTTTAATGACCTTTTGCTTTCTTCCTATGTGATGTTCTTGATGTCATCCCCAACTCTTCTGGTCTTCGGTCATTAGTGTCTAATACATCAAATGTGTTCTTTCTTGAGGTAATCTGTAAATTCAGGTGTGATATGTTCAGAGTCAAATTTGGGCTTTTGTGGACTTGTTTGAATTTTCTTCAGCTTCATCTTGAACTTGCATATGAGCAATTGTGATTCTGTTCCACAGTCTGCCCCTGGCCTTGTTTTGGCTGATGATATGGAGCTTTTCCACCATCTCTTTTCCATAGATGTACTCAGTTTGATTTCTGTGTACTCTCATCTGGTGAGGTCCATGTGTATAGTTGTCTTTTATGTTGTTTAAAAAAGGTATTTGCAATGAAGATGTCATTGGTCTTGCAAATTTCTATTATACAATCTCCAGCATCATTTCTATCACCAAGACCATATTTTCCTATGACTGATCCTTCCTCTTTGTTTCCAACCTTTGTATTTCAATTGCCAGTAATGATCAATACATCTTGATTGCATGTTTGATCAATTTCAGATTGAAGAAATTGGTAGAATTCCTCAATGTCATCCTCACTGGCTTTAGTGGTTGGTGCATAATTTGAATAATAGTGGTATTAACTGGGCTTCCCTGTAGGCGCATGGATACTATCCTATCACTTACAGCATTGTACCTCATGACTGATCTGGATCTGTTCTTTCCGACAATGAATGCAACACCATTCCTCTTTAATTTGTCATTCCCTGCATAGTAAACCATGTGGTTGTCAGATTCAAAATGGCCAATACCAGTCCATTTCAGCTCACTAATGCCTAGGATATCAATGTTTATGTGTTCCATTTCATTTTTGACAATTTCCAATTTTCCTAGATTCATACTTCACACATTCCATGTTCCGATTATTAATGAATGTTTACAGCTGTTTCTCTTCATTTTGAGGTGTGCCCCATCAGCAAATGAAGGTCCTGAAGGCTTTTCTCCATTCGTGTCATCACGGTCAACTGTACTTTGAGCAGACAGCTCTTCCCCAGTTGCATTTTGAGTGCCTGCCAACCTGAGGGGCTCATCATCTGGCACTATAGGTGACAGCATTCTGGTGCTTTCCTAATGTGTCAGTATTCCTGTGCTGTCTGATTGTGTTCCACTGCTCTTCATAAGGTTTTCAGTGACTAAACTGTCAGAAGTGGTCCGTCTCTCCTTCTTCCTAGTCTGTCTTGGTCTGGAAGTTCACCATGGGTGACCATGGTAGAGTCTCCAGCATCACAGCAACATGCATGTTGCCACGCTATGACACACTAAGAGATGAGTGGTGGAATCATACGTACGGTGAGGCATTTCACACACGTGTGTCATACCACAACCCTGTGGGCTACGAACTACACAGATCTGGAGGTGAGGACACTGGGTCATAGACCAGAAAGTGCCAAAGTGGGATTCACATACAAATCACCAATTTGGGGTTCCAACGTGTAATCTCCATACCAGCTGTGCTATGGGAGGAGTATGGGTGTGCGGGAGAGACGGTGGCTGATGGCTGAAGCAGGAGGTATGCAGGTGGGACCAGTGTGTGTGGGAGAGATCGGGCTGTGTGTGTGAGAGATGGGCATGTGTGGGAGATTTGGGGGTGCATGTGAAGCGGTGGTGATGGAGGAGATGGGATGAGGGATACAGTTCAGTATGGACACCTTCCTGAGCGATGTCTCCTGTCGCCATCATACATAAAGCCCACGACCAACCAATGAAACTTCGGCATGCCTTCCAACCTTTTACTTTCCCATTTTTTCCTAATTTTTATTAATTTTCTTTAAGTCAAATTGTTTGACACATGTGATTTTAAAGGGGAGTTTGACTTCACCACCATCAGTGAAAATAAAAAAGCATCACAAGTCCTTAGTTGGTGGGAATCCAAAGATGAATGCAGTCAAAAGGAAGCCCTGGGCACGACTGTCCTGGGCGCGCCCCACAGCCCTCTCTATGCAGAGAAAAATGTGTTCATTCTATGACACGGTAGCCACTACTCAGGTGTCCCTACTGACCACCTAAAATGTCGCTGGGTGGCTGGGAGTTGGGATTCTAAATCTGATTTAACTTTACGTCATGCAAATCCTAGCTTAAATGGTCACACCTGACTGGTGGCCACAAACTGGCCAGTTCAGATGCTGTGGACACTGAGGTTGGCTTACCAGTGTCCTGTGTCCACCAAGCCAGCTGCCATTAGTTGAGCCCAAATTATGATGCCCCCGTGTGTGTCAGAGGAGAACTGTGCCCCATAGGGTTCTCAGTGGGTGATTTTTCATAAATCCCACTCATGGTGCCCCCGTGTGTGT